GATTACTATTTACAATAGAAATACATTAATGTAGCTATATTACTCATCTGTAACTGACTGAGTACAAAATTCTTGTTTATTTTTGGTGAAAATAAAATATTGGGCCTTGGTTCAGGAACCAATTCCACATTTATAACATTGTTCCTATGGGAAAATCAGTTCCAAGTCATGATGTTTCCACTTAAGACACAGTTTTCATGAACTAATTGTGTCGTAAGTCCAAGGACTGCCTGTATATCAATAAAGCATTGGCCAACTGACCTCTCTCTATATAGCAGCATTTCATTTTAATAGTGAAAAAACACTATTTTGGGTATTTTAGTGACAGAATTCAGGTTTCTTATCAGAAAACTTGCAATTTTTAAACAGGGAACACCAGGATCTCTGATGGTGAGACAAGTAGCAAGACCTGGGCAGCGGATCCTGTCCAGGGCCAGCACTGGGGATCCAGCTGGAGGGCAAACAAGGTGACTGACCTTTTGGCTATTTGGGGCCAAGAGGACACACTTGGATATTTCAGAGCAGGCCACTGCAAGGAGCACATCTTCTGGGCAATAGCTGCCCAGATGGCAGAGCATGGGCTCCCCATCTGGGTCTGACAGGTGTGCAGCCAAGAGGCCACAGGTCTAAGGGGGCAGATGCTACTGCAGATGGTACCATACCACAGCCAGGCAGCAGCCCCAACTGCCAGAGTGCTCCAGTGGATAGAGGGTGCAGGGGCCACTCCAGGTTAGGGTTGCTTCAGCAGTCCAGATGGCACAAGGGGTAGTGTCCCCAGATACTATGTTCCCTCTAAGGTGTAGCAGTCCATGAGCATGCTGCTTTGGTCCGTGAATGCACCACTTTGGTCCCGCCTCCCCTTTTCAGTCTGCCCCACAGTACCCAAAGCACCTTGTCTGCCTATGCCCTTAGACACAGCTGTAACTAGCACCCCAAACTCAAGATTACACAGCTTAGGATTCTTCTAAGAAAAACACCATTTGCAATTTCTTTTTCTGTTTAATACTTTAATACTCAAATGCATAAACTAGTGAGAATAAAGACAAACCATTAAATGGCTAAAAAATGGCTAAATAGCTAAAAAACTGGCACCACCCCTAGCCCCCGGTGGGACTGAGGAGGCACATGGAGTTGAGGCTGGGGAGTGGAGCAGTTTCCCAGTGCTGGTGGAACCCACTCAAGCCCTGAGCCCGAGCACCTGCATTGTCTCTGGGAGCGGAGCAGTTTCCTGGCCCCAGCCCCAGCCCCCATCTCACCTTGCCTCCAGGAGCAGGGAGACACATGGCATCAGGTCTGGGGAGCAGAGCAGTTTCCTGGTGCTGGCAGAGCCCATGTCAGCCCCCAGCTCCAGTCCCCCGCATCGCTTTTGGGAGTGGAACAATTTCCTGGCCCCAGCCCCCACCTCATCTCTGGGAGTGAGGAGGCATGTGGCATCAGGGCTGGGCAGTGGAGCAGTTTCCCAGTGCCAGAGGACCCTGTATGAGCCCCCAGCCCCTGTCTCCACCTCCCCATGCCTTTGGGAGTGAGGAGACACATGGCGTTGGGGCTGGGAAGTGGAACAGCTCCCTGGCACCAGCCCCCAACCCCAGCCCCAGCCCCAGTACCTGCCTCGCCTCCAGGAGCACACAGCCTTGGAGAGGAGCCACTGCCTGAGCTTACCTCCGGAAAGTGTCCTGTGCCAGCCCCAGTGACTCTGCCACGTTCCGCACCCAGTTCATTGCCCAGCTCCTCTCTGGGAAGCCACAGCCCGGCTCCTCTCTGAGCGGATGCATGGCATTAATAAGTTTGTGCGTGGCATGGTTTTAAAGTGTGCACAGCCTTGCACGCAGGCAGCTTGGAGGGAGCCTTGCCCAGATACCAAGTGGCCAGGCCTCAAAATCTCCTGCAGGCAAGTAGCCCTGAGCTGCTACCACAGGACAGGTTTTTATACTGCTGGGGTCAGCACAGGTGGTGTTATTTTGCCCCAAGCAGCACAACTTGCCTCACACCAAAGTGCATGTCTGGGCATGTGCGCTGAGGCAAAAATCCCCATCTCAAATTTGTGCCACTCCTATTTGAGCTTCTGCAAGCACACATGCCTGAATGTGGGGACATGCTCTAGGGGGTCAGTCTGAGGTTAGCCCTGGGCTGGGATCCTTTCCTGCCCCAGGTCTGGGCTGGCTCTACAGCAACCCCAGCCTCAGGCCCTTAAAATCCTGTGGGTATTTTGAGTCTTGGGACATATGCAAGCAGCCTGAGGCAACTCCAGGTCCCTGTGTCTCCCTGGGCAGGCCACAGGATAGCCACACCAGCCTATCTGCAACCCAGTGCCACTTCCTGGCACTACAATGCCTCATGGCTGCAAGGCCCATGCCATCCAGGCCTGCAGGGCACTGCAGGATCCTGCCATGTGTGTCACCACCCAGACCAAGCTGCAGGCAGCTCCTGGCAACCTGGGCCAGCTTCAGTTGTCCACAGCCCACCCCCCGAAGCCTGCTTGGAGCTTGCAGGTGTGGTGGGGCATTACCTCACTGCACGGCTGCCAGTCCCATGCCATGCCCTCGCTCTGGGCACTACAGGCAGCTGCCTAGGCCTGGAAGCACAGGCATAGCTATGTGGAGGCCCAGAGAGGTGGAGCAGAAGTCCCAATGGTCTCTTCCTTGCTGATGCCCATGTTTGCCACCCAAGGCCCCAACTGGTCACAGGAGGAGATTGGTGACCTTGTGGTGCTGTGGGGTAAGGAGAAGCAGTGCCAGTTCATGCAGGGCAGGCGCTCCAATGTCTATTTGTATAAGGAGATGCCAGGCTGGTTGCAGAAGCACAGGCACAGCCAGTTGGCGTGGCAGTGCTGCCTAAAGTCAAGGCTGTGTGGCACAGTTGGTCACCATCACTGACCATAATCGTCAGCCAGGAGGAGCCTGGAAGTCCATTCCCTTTATGCAGCGACTGACAGAGATCATCCTGCTCTGGCACCCAGGCCACAGCTGTGCTGTCTACAGCAGCATGGGTGGCCTGACCAAGCCCCCTCCCCAGCCTGGCACCCATGGTGACATGCCACTGGGGAGGTCCCCTCAGGCATCCAGCATCCCATCCCACCAAGCTCCCTGGCTGCACCTGCTACTAGCAGCTCAGGGAGCCCAGGCCAGCACCTGCCTCAACAGTTCTGCAGCCTCTGCTCCAGCTATGAGGTAGCATTGTCTGAAGCTGCAGCAGCAGATGCTGTCAGGAGCCTTCCCTGTCCCACCATGGTAACAGGACAGAGGAGGCAGGCTGCCTGCAGCCAGTACCCAGTTGCCTGCCTGGCCCTGGGTAGCAAGCAGGGATGGGAGGCTCAGCCAGAAGCTGCCTGGGCCCAGCCCTGCCTGGCCAACTTACCATGGTCTCTGGGCAGCTGTGTATGCCTGATCCCCTATCTGAGGCCAGGCATTGCACAGGCCCCGATGCAGAGCATCTTATCTGAGAAATGTTGCAAACACTCACAAACAGCTTCTTTCTCATGTCTCTGCAAGTCCTGCAGCTGCACGCAGGAGAGAGGCCACAGGTGGCAGCCAGGATGTGGCCTCAGGATCACCACCACCCACAGCCAGGGCCCTGTGGATGTGCTGGCTTCTCCAGAGGTGGACCCAGGACCGCACCCTCTTCCTGGATCAGCTGGTGATGGCATTGGAGGACTGGCTGATGGACACATGGGCCTGGTGGATTAAGGACAAGGCACATGGGACTAGGTGGACTGGGATTTTCAGGCACAGTGTGATCAGCTGGAGGCCCTGCAGCACCAGACTGCATCCTGGGCAGGGCAGGACAGTGCAGGCCATGGATGATGACTACCAGGTTCTGGACACTGTTCTGGCTTTGGCAGCCACCTTCATGCTACCTACTTCCCCCAATCCTAGCCCTGCATTCCTCCTAGCACGTGCCTGCCGCCCAGTAGCAGACCTGCCCCATGGGCCTGAGAAGAGGTCCTGCAATGCCTTCACCAGGCAAGAGCCCCTTCCCTGGACCCCCTGGTCCCCCACCACCCAGCCCACCCCACCTGCGCCAAGGCCCCTCACACTCACTCCAGTTCCATGTAGGCATGGAGCCAGAGCTCCCTGCAGCGGGGCCAGGACCTCATGCCAGCCCTTCTCGCCCTGGACACCAACTGCCAGAGGGGAGGGCTGCCCATGCCATCACCCCTGGGCAAGCCATCCACCCACTGGGCTCACTCTGGCAGGCGCACCTGTGGGGGAACAGCAAGAGGCCAGGGTACTGGTTGCCTGTCCCTGGGCTCTACCCCCTAGGCGCCCCCACCTCCCCCCCATGCCAGGATGGCACACAAAACATTTTGTAAATAGTCTGCACAGGGAGGAGGGTGTTTTATTGTTGGTGGGTGGCTTGAGTGGTAGGGGGACTCTGTTGGTGGCGGGGAGGGGGTATCTCCGTTGGGGAGGGAGAAGGAGTCTGTTTGATGTGAAGGGAATAAAAACTGTTCTCCTAAAATGTATCTGCAGTGGGCATGGTGCAGGCAGTAGGTGAGGGGGTGGCGGGTTGGTGGGCAGAGGTCCAGGCAGGCTACAGCGGGGAGTGCAGTAGGTGGTCAGCCCCCAGTGGTGGGTGTGTGGTACAGCTGTGCAAAATTTCTGTAGCTGATTCAATTCAGAGGCGATTTAGCCTGATTTGTGCAGTGCAGGGCAGTGGGGAGCAGCGGGGATCACCCCACCCCACGACCTGGTACCCACCCAGCAAGTACAGCGTGGCTTGGCAGAGCGCTGTGCGCTGGCTGGGAGCTGGAGCAGCTCCACCTGTCAGCCAGAGGTCCCAATTCAATTCCCTAGCTCTCTGATCATTCCCCCGGATCTACACTCAGAGTTTCAGCAGACTGCCACTGCCAGCTGGAGAAATAGCTCAGAGCCACTGCCATCACCAGCTGGCAGTGGCACAATTCTGTCACCCTGCATCATATGGGGACCTGTGCTGCCCAGGAGGAGCTGGGGGAAGTGATCAAAGAGCTGGGGGAAGAGATTGGGGAGCTGGGGAATTGAACCAGGAACTGGGGGAATGTTCAGGGACCTGAACATTTCCCCAGCTCCCTGTTCAACTCCTCAGCCCCTGGTTTGATTCACCTGGGAGCTGGGGCGGCTCCAGCAGTGCTCAACCCCAGTGGTACCAGCTCCCAGACAATGCATAGTGCCCTGCCAAGTTGTGCTGTACCTCTGCCATGGGGCAGCTGCCACATGAGTGCCAAGCAGAGGGGGAAATTCCTGCTGCCCCCAACTGCCATGCACTGTGTGGGGGGGGCTCCACCACAACCACCTAGAGGTCCCAGTCACTGCTCCTGCAGCCAGCATTTTTTTTTTTTTTTTTTAAGTGCCAGGACTAGGCTGGGGCCGGGCAGGGTATGCAGCCAAGCATGGGGGCTTCTCCCACAGTTCGCCCAACCCGGGGAGAGGCTGGCACAACTGGAGGACCTGTGGGAGAACCTGCAGATGCCAGGCTGTGCCTGCCTCTCCTCGGCAAATCCGAATCACCGAATCTCTCTGAATCAGCACCAAATCTTCCGAAGCTGATTCAGCTGAATTGATTCAGAACAGTTATCCAAATCTCCAAACCAAATCACTATAATCCGAATTGGCCGAATCTAAATCCTAACTGAATACTTCCATATTCGCACAGGCCTAGCATGTGGTTTGCCTGGTGCCTTGGTGGGGTAGGTGTGGGGGGCATTGCTGTTGCTGTTACCACAGATGATGCTGCTCGTCATCCCAGGTCTGTTGGACAGTGTGCAACCACCAGTTTTGGCTGACCTGGTGGGCCCAGAGATGGCGGGACTGGAGGCCCAGGATGGCACGAGCAGCCCTGGTTGTGGCATCCAGCAGCATGTTGTTGGTGTCCCTGCCGGGGTCTAGCCAGCTGGACAGGGTTGAGGTGGTAGTTGTGTGGCAGCAGTGGCCCTGGGATGGTGTGCTGCAGTTGGACAGGTGATTACTGTGCATGGGGAAGCCAGGAGGGCCCAGATGACCAGTAGTCAGCATGGCAGGCCAGCAGGGCCAGTGTGGTGGCCAGCAGGAGCCCAGGGCACTGGTCATTGCTGCCAGAAACAGGAGCTGGAGCAGTCATCGTGTGGGGAGGCAGAGGTGGTGAGGAGAGAGCTGTTGTGTGCTTCTCCTGTGCTCCTGTCATGTGCTGCTTGTGTGTTGCTCTTGGCCAGGGAAGTGGCAAGCCAGGAAGCAAAGAATGGGGCTGGCAGCTACAACAAAAGCCTGGAGCTTCCCTCTGGTGGTAGCAGGGGCTCATTGCAGAGCCACAGGAAGTGGCAGCAGTTTGGTGCTAAGAGTAGCAAATCTGCTGTCACATCTTTGCAGGTGTAGACTCCTGCCTGGGAGTGCTTAATCACAAGTTCACTTGCAGGTAAACTGATTTTGGATCAAATGCATATATAGATGTTCCCACTGTGTAGAAGAAGCCAGACTAAATATGACAATGGTCATGTCAACGAGATTTAGTTATTGCACTTGGCAGCAGCTACATCAAGCATGCTGTTCTATTTTGCACAGTCTACCTGTTCAACTGAAAGCAGTGTATCCCACCTACGCAGAATTGTGTGCAGGGTAACTAGTGCCGTGACCATTAATAGCTCCTCCTCTGCCCCTGGCCCTAAAGTTAATTAACCTACCATCCCATAGCACTGCAGACGTAGCTATGCTGTTTTCAGTTTAGGAGGCAGCCTATGCAGAACAGAACAATTTTTTTTGAGGGTGCAGCAACTGGGAATGGTATGTTTACTGTGTGACATGGTCAATTAATCAGTTGTTGTATTCATTTCTCCTCATGGGGGCACATTCATCCCTGCTGTTAGCATGCTCAAGTCCAGTTTTTCCAATGATGCCCACATTTGTTCTTCTCTAACACTACCAGTAAAGAGAAGAAATGAATCACAAATGTCAAACTCTGTCTCATACATATCAAAGAGTTCCATCGATAAAGAAGCGACAGTTACACATGTAACTCTTCAAAGACTAGAATGGCAATTCAATTTTTAACAAGATGTATTGAGAACAAATGATAGATCTTTCTGAGTAAACAATTCACAGTTCCTTAAGACTGGTGAAAGCATGTCCCTGTCTTTATCACACATCCGCAAAGATGATCCTATTCTCCTATACGCTGTGACAGATTTCTGGCACACTATACCAATACAAGCAGCCAGGATGACCACTGGAAGATTCCTTTAGCACTGAGGGATTGCTGAGTAATATGCTGCAGCTATCTTGGCTTCTACAGCACTTCCTCCTTCTGACCTCCACTTTGGGGACTATTCTCCTTTACAGCAGCTGATTTCCAGCTACCAAAATAAGTTGTTACCAGTACAACAGTGTTAATTCCAGTCATTTTTAAAGGATTGCCATTCTTTCTCCAAGTCTCTGCAGCTGTAAGTAGAAGCACTCCTGGTTGTGTATTCAACCCCCTTTGTAATAAAATGCTTATTCACTTTCTTTAAAAAATATGCCATTTTCATTTTTTTTCTTCTTTTGTAAAGGTACAATTTTTCTACCTTCAACAAAAGCAGGAAGATAGAAAATGAAAAACTTGATTTTCCACTGAAATTTGTAGTAGTGCCACAATGCCTCTCAGAAGCAATAGTTCAAGAGCACCGTGCTAATTCATCTCTATGGGCCAGTCATGAGGGTCAGACTTCATCCTCCATGATGCACTACAGCACAACTGACCTGTATAAAGTAAGTATAATATCAATGCTCTCAGTGCCAAACTTCTAAAGACTTTTTAATGCTGGGGAGGGATAAACTTTTCTTTTTCTTGGGGTGATTGGAAAGAAGACAACTAGCAAAAACATGTAATGGCAAAATGGGAGTGTCAAGGAAGAAGGAATCACTTTCTCCAACAACTCAGTAAGAAATGTTTAGAATAAAGGAAAGAGCATTATTCCAAAGCTGTTGCTGTCTCTCCTTCCCTTCCACTTCTACCTAGATCCTTCCCTAGCCCCAGCTTGTGAGAGAGGTGTACAGAAGCAGCAGATATACTCAGCTGAGACACAAAATATATCAAATGAGTGTTAACCATCAGTATAATGATATAATTCCCCAATAATTTTGCATTAGATGTCTGAAAAACAGATAAAGATATAGCAGGCATAGACCATGAAATAAATCTAGATATATTTTTATTATCAGTAATTTAAATAATGTATGAAACCTACGCATTCAGTGTAAAGATATACAGACATCTCAGGAATTCCACTTATACTTTCTCTTGCAAAACCTGAGGATGTTAGTAAACATAACAGACAAGCAATCAGTCAGAATTCAGTAACACACACATCTGCAGAAAGCCTTAAATAAAACATAGTATCAACCTTCAGTACAGTGCATTGAGACAAATGCCACGGATGTGAAAGGTGTCGCTGGGATTACCAATGACGTGCTAATGGTTGTTCAAGCAATCGCTGTGCTTCCTTCTCTCTGACTCACTGTCTCCCTTTGGAGGCTTCTCTCACGTCATTGAGGGACTAAGGGTTATTCGCAGATCACTGACTAAACGCAAGCTTTAGCTTCCCGCCTGCATCCCCCTGGTCATATGAAAAGGACTGAGGTCACTGACAAGCAGCCTTTGAGCTTTTTATCAATAGACCCAATGAAGAAGAAAAAAAAAACAAAAAACTGAACACCCCTCTGCTCTCCTGTTGCTAAGGGCTTTTTTGTTTTGTTTCTGCAGTTATTTTCGCAATTAGGACTTTCCTATTTTTTTCAGAGGGTTGAAAATTCCCCTGCTCAGAAGCAACGTATATCTTGTGGACACTAATAAAAACTCTTCTCAAAGGCTGTTGACTAATCATTTGGAAAAGAAAAGAAAAATGAAGTCCAGTACTAGGAGCCTGCGTTAGAAAGGGCATTACTTTTCTAGTGTTAGAAAGGACCAAGTAACAAGTAACCGGAAGGTTAACTACTTGTTTTCTAGTGATTTTTACTTGTCAAATAAGGTGCATCAAGGTGCAGTCAAATGCAATGTAGGGGACTGGCATGCTTCAGAACACCAGCCCCACTTACCCCACCTCTGGCAGTGGGGTCTTTGAACCATGAATTTGGAGGCAAGCACTGTAGGTGCTCCAAGCATGAAACCCTAGAGCATCTAGCCATCACTGAGCTACCAAAATCATATTTTGGATTAGAACTCTTTAATGCCCAGGTTTTGTAGAAATCCTTTGGGATGGGATATTCCTTTTTAACTGATACAGCTTTACTGGTACAATCACTAGTGAAGATGAAGTTAATTCATTATAAGGGTGCCTAGTGCTGGGGTACCTTATTTGCCTTCCTAAAGGGGCATAATGTGTACCTGTATAAACACATTTGCATTGGTATCACTACATGCATACTATCTGGTAACAATTCAAATATAGTGGAGGGTACAGAATAGCTTCAATAGGTACAAGAAGTAAACCCAACTCATTGCCTTGGAGCAGTGCAGCACAGGAATATAAAGGTAAATTGCACCCACTCCTCGTGCCATCCACACGTGTCAACATCCCATGTGATCTGCTTGCAGGCCACTCCTCTCTGTTAATTCAGCTGGCCTCCTATGCTACCAATGAGCTGCTTCCCAAGCCTGGCTCAATTTTTCAGGCTGTTACCTCCAGACTTCCAGCTGTGGCAGCAGGAACTTTCCAACTTTCCACTACCCCCTTTCCTAGAACACTCTCGAGAAGAAGAAAAAGTAGCAGATGCATACTCTGCTGATGTCAGCTAATTCATGACAAAGGTTTCATAGCCATACTCTATTACCCAGGTTAGCAAGGGACCCTAAATGCATGGAGTTACCATTGTTCTGTTGTGGAAAGGGGCAAAACAGAGGAAAAGGGTCAAAATCTCTCGACTATCATAGAGCTTAGTTACAAGGAAGCCTGATGTCCTGTGGAGCTGAAAGGCATGTTCATACCACCTTCCAGCTCAGTCAAGAACTACCACCAAGAAGCACCCCCCACACACTCTGTTTGCACCCAGATGGAGCAGTTAGGCTGTGTAGATGGCTTACTCAGATCCTATGCACATCTCAGCCCCTCTCTCAAAACAGAGTTCTAAGGGGTAGGTGCAAAAAAGTTAAGCTATATGGCGTCATAAAATTATCCTTGCAATAAAAAGAGCAGAGCAAATTTGCAGTTTACTATGGCCTAGTGAATGCAGCAGTGGCAATAGAGCAATTTGGTGAGGATTCTGTTCCCTTCGGTTCGCAAGGTGGTTTGCACTGGCATTGCACAAAGAGGTAGGATATGGCAGTAAGTGCTCAGTTTACACTTTGTGACAGAGTGATGCTCTTAAAAATTAGTTGTACTCTTCACTGAAAATATAGTTTTCTGCTGTCGTGACTAAACCTCTTGGAATAACAAGCCAATTTATTTTCACACCCTACAGTTTTCTGTGGTAAAGAAAGGTCTGATTTATTTTTGTCTCTCTTCCTATTTTCAAAATTAGTGACACTTCTGCATTATAAGATCAACATTCAGAAGGGAAGTACAGTCTGCAGTTACAAAAAAAAAATGTACTTTTGCCACGTGAATTTTAAAAGACAATTCAATTTTAAAGGGAGGAGATAGACTCACATGATCAGAAAATGACTCCGGATAGTTCCACATCTGAATACATTTATGGTCTCCCTTATTCAGTTAGAAATAATCAAATGATTCGGCAAGCTATGATTTTCTGTGTTACTCAGATATCTGACACCATACACATACTGCTTATTGACCTAACGAAAAAGATTTTCATAGCATGAACTAAATGTGAATACTCTTGTGGAATCCCACTCTCTTATATTTCTTTGTATAATCAAAAGATATTCAAATGTTATTTAATTATGCTTATGCACATGCAAAATTCCATCTAATATCTGTACATTAGGCATCCTTTATTTTTAATCCACAGCTAACAAACCATACACCTTCTTTTTGTTAAGAATTTCATGCATTGTCATTATTTCCTCATTTGCTAAATGGTGAATTTACAAAAATGTGTGTACAAATTCATATCCATGTTTAAGAATGCATATTCTAGTTAGAATATGTGCTTTCACAATTTAGCAAACAATAAGATGACAATCTAGAGAATTTTCTATTCTAATATTATTAACTCATCAGGGCCCCATTGTGCTGGTGATATACACACAATAAAAGACAAAGGTCGACTATCAACGTAAATAAGACAAACCAAGGATCGGAAAATGGAAGCATTATTTCTTCATTGCATACATAGGGGCATGAGGTGCCTCGAGATTAGGTCATAACACAGGAAGTCTATAATAGACAAAAGAACTGAATCAAAGTCTCCCAAGTCCCAAGCCAGTGAATTAACTATAAGATTGTTCCTTCCTTTTCATTTTGATAGCTATTTTGTTTTTTAAAGGGAGGAATTGGTTTTTTACTACTAAACATACGAATTGTTTATACTATTTTTTTATATGTATAGTTCCACTCATGTTGTAAGATTAAGCCTTGAGCGCAAAGGTAAAATAAAGGCTTCACAGTGAAGTGCTTCAAAGCTGGTCCTGGTTCTTTCCAGGGATATATTTTACATAGAGGTGTAAGATATCATGAAACTAAGTAATAACATAGGAAATCTGTAACAGACCAAATAACTGAATTAAGACCCCCCAAGTTCCAAGGGATATTTTTAAAATGGAACAGCCATTTTTAAGGGATTAATTGGTTGCATACACCTGTACCTTCACTTTTGGACAGCTGTAAAGGCACTTAGGGCATTTTTACACATGCAAGTGCCACAGCGCTAGGCACTTTGAAAAGCACCCAGTGCTGCAACGCTTACAGTTGGATAAGCGGCGAAATTCACATCAGCACTGAGAAAATGGCAGTGGCACAGTTTGAACTAAAACACATCACAGGTGCTTTAGTTCCAAAGTGCACCACTGCCATTTTCTGTGCATTGACATGCATTTCATTGCTTATATAATTGCCTGTGGCACAGCACAGTGCTCGTCAGCTCACATGTGAAGCAGACTCAATTAATGAAGTCTGCACTGAAGTAGCAGATCTCCAGTGCATCACAGAATGAAAAGGTACGTGTATAAATGCCCTTAGAGCACTTCAAATGTTACATTTGCCCCAGGGAATGTTACATTTGCTATACAGGGAAGTTTTTCCAGTTGTAGCAATATAGATACAAATGAGGCTACACCCATATAACCTCCTCTATAAAGGAATCTTTGGGTTGTAATACATGTATATGGCTGCAGAAAGCTTTTAAATTGGCCAATTGTGTGAAAAATTAACCCTGGTCAAATTAGCCAAGAGATTAAGGCTCTCTAAAGCAGGATAACTTAGGGAACTTGTGTTTCCTCCAGAGTTAATTTTTCACATGGGAGCAAGGTTGGGCTGGTGCTCATGCCAGAGAGTACTAACCCAGCTACACCCCCAGGGCTGTCAGTGGGGGAGGGAGATGGAAGGGAAAGGAGTAGCCAGCATGGAGATGCTGGCTGCTGTGAATGGCCAGAGCTGAGGGTTGAGATAGAATGGAGTCCCCCTGCCTCGCAGCCCCCCCCCCCAAGCTACTCCAGTTGGGATATTGTGGGGATCCGGTGGGGCTTGTGAGGTGAGGGGGGGCTCCCTTCCCCCCCACCACCTCAGGCCTCTTGACAGCAGCAGCATGGAGCTGCCAACTGCTTTGAATGGCTGGAGCAGAGGAAGGGGGTTGAGTGGAATGGAGCCCCCTTGCCTTGCAGACTCAACCCAGTTCCCCCCAAAACCCTAGCTGGGTAGCTGGGGGGGTGGGATATGAGGCTAGGGGGACTCCCTGCCCCACTCCCCCTCAGCTCTGATATTTCAAAGCAGCCAGTAGCTCTGTGCTGCCACTTCTCCTCCCTTCCCTGCTGATAGCTCCAGAAGTGGGGGGGAGGGGTTGGAGAGAGGGGGAGTTCAGCAGTCCCCTTGGAGGTTTCTGGAGTGCCCCTACCTGCTGGCCAGGACCAGTGCAGGCAGGCTCCAGTGCCACCCCACCACCCCAACTCGACAGACAAATGCCTGTTGAGCGGGTGGAGGGGGACAGACTCTAGCTCATGGTGCTTTATGTAAAGCATCATGAGTTAAGAGTGGGTCCCTAAACATCTGTAGGCACACTTTATTTAAAACAGGACTTTTTAGCTATATACACAAAATAAAACAGATTGTTCTTTTGCCAGAATAAGATGTAACAGTTTTAATTTGCATTGGATGCATCTACACATGCAATTTGCACACAGCAATAAACTCTGGTGTAGTTTGCCCTGGAGTTTATTGCTCCCAGGTGCAGTATTTACACATGCGCCCAGAACTACAGCACGTTGAGTCAGGTCAGAGCATCTCCAGCTGGCAAGGGGTCTGTGGGATCAGCCTGCCAGCCCAGAGCAGCTCTACTCCAGCTCCACGTGATGCAGAGGGGCTGGCTAGGTCACAACCATGGTAGAGTACAGGGCTAGCTGGCAGGCAGCTGCCACACCACCGCACCCTCATGCCCCAGCCAGGCCTGGTTACCATCTATACAGGTGTTTCAGCATAAGTAACTACTGCACTGTAAAATAGCACTTGTCCTGGACAGTACTATCCTACAGCAGAAGTAATTAATTAACTGCACCCTTATACAGGTGCACGTGTAGTTGGTGACACTTTACTGCTGAGCTAATTAGTAAGCTCTGCAGTAAAGCGCGTGTATAGATGCACCCAGTAAAACCTAAAATGTGTTTAGGTTTTAGTGAAAAAAGCTTTATGATGTGAACAAGATTTTGAGTTAATATTCTACTTCATTTTAAACAAAGATCATTAATACTGTGTATTTTTTTTTAATTGTAGACCTTTGACTGAAGCAAAATGTACATTTGATCTCTAAGAGTGAAACGCCAATGAAATCGGTGATAAAACTCCCATTGATTTCAGAGGTCAGGATTTTACTATAGATAGCATATCTGCAGTACCCTATATTCCTGTGTCTCCTGAGTGTCAGATTGGAGGATTAAAATGTATAAAAAGGCTAAATGATAAATATAGCATCAAATAACAGATTGATGCAAGAGAGTTGTAAAATTTACTATGATATATGGAATTTGCTTTTGCTTTTGTATCTGCTGTCTAATTAAAAGAGTTCTTAGCATTACAGAGACTTTTCTTTTAATTTAGAGTACAAGTATGTATTTAAGCTGTAAAATAGAGTAAAAGGAAAGATTATGTTTCCCTTGTTATTTTTAACAAACACAGGTTGTTCAACTTTACAAACTCTCAGTAAAGAATTGGTAATCTGCAGTCTTTACTGTTATATTCTTTCTGATCCAGAAATGTGCTTGAGAAAACTAAAAGAGGATAAAGAAGCCAAGTCACAGCATTTGTTACTAATATCTAATTAACCTGCTAATGTAGATTTAGAGGATTATGAGGAGCAACATGAGAAAGACAGACCAAGTGGATAAGTAGATTATACACAGAGATATGGCGGGGAGGGGAGGAGAGAGGGTGAGAATAAATCCTGTTCCAATGTACTTCACTGGACCAATTCTGGTTCCTAACTTATATTGTATTTAAAGTACTGCACCAGAAAGTGAGAGTAAGTGAGGCAGAGAGAAGAATTTGAAAACGAGATGCTATAAGGGGAAAAAATTCAGCTATACACATTGTAAATATAAATTTGTTTTGGGATTAATGCATTTTTCCTGTTCACTGGCTGGGCTCTACGGGACTGCTCTTATAAGGTGCTTTGGTATCATCTTAAAATGAAGAGCCTCTATAATAAACAAGAAAATAGGGTAAAGAGTATGACGATTTAAGATAAGAGAAAAGAAGTGTTTCCTTGCTTCACTTGCACAGTTGGTACAACAGTTGTGTTGTGTTAAGGTACTGAATCATTGTTGGCTGGAGGGCAACATGGGCTTGGATAAAGCTGACTGAACAACAAACAACGGTGCTGTAGTACGAAAGTTTACATCAGCAGCTTGTAAGTGTGCCTGACAGCACCAATTATCTTTGGGCAGTTAGCTACAGACAAATAGGATGGATAAAATACAATCCTTAAAGCATCATTTGTTCTAAATGTAAAAGTAAATGACTAAATAAATAAATTGGGGTAATTATAAAGAAATTTATTGTGACTAAGAGAAAAAACACAAAGTATTTTTGCATCAGGGGATGTCAAAGAATATTGCACCAATATAATTGTAAAGTGGGCAAGATCTACGTGCGCACTGTTTTCTTTAACTTTGTAGAATGATCACTTCCCTCCAATAGCAGCTATGTTAATTAACATTACTAGAGCTCATAGTTACAGCTTTTCTTGGCAAATCATTCGAGACAGATGTCTCTGCCTGAAGACATTGGCTTCTATTTCTCCCAAAAATAGAGAACTGTTAGTATTCTCGCTGCTGCTAACATATTGAAATCTGCTGCCATTTTTCTCTCCTGTTGTCTCAGTGTTAACTCAGAAAATACTTTGTTGCTTGTGTGAGTGAGGATGGATGTATTATCCCATCTTAAGCAAGGATATTTAACAACAGACTATCTTACATGAATATTACCTCATTTGTTCTGAAGTGTCCTAATGTACTTTATGCTACCCAAGGAGATAAGGCATTGTGGGTAATTGCATCAGGGAAGGAGAGGAAAAGGGAAGGACTGAATAACATAGGGTTAGGATTATGTTAAGAGGGATCAGTTCTATTACATGATTTGTTAGTGTCTTCTATTATTCTTAGAACTGGTTAAAAAGTTTTCAGTTTGAAGTAATCAAACCTTTTTCTTTTGTATGTTCCAAAATATTTTGTCCTTTATACCTCTAATCATAAAACAGTTATCAAAATGTCATGGATTGAAATATATTTTTGTTTACGGAGGTTTTTTACAAATGAAAAGAAAATATGCAGATCAGCCCTAGTTATTCTGATTCCTATTATGGTTTTATTGTATGGGTTTTGTAACATGGGTCATTGTTTAAAAGTTTGCAGGAAAAGTTAGAGTTTGTACAGGCATTTAAGTTAGGGGGAGGAAGCACATTTTTATTATTACATATGTTAATGTCCATTTACTGTAATACTGATAAATCTAACTACTGAGAAAAGTCCTTATTTGTAAGGAGAAAAAGAGTTATTTTATCTAATAATCAATGAGTTTTTAAAGCAAGAATAATGGAAACCAATTAAGAATTTCTTCTCTAGACTTTTCACATAACTTGAATCCTCTGAAATGGTTAACTTTCTGCTCACTAAAACTGGTCTGCTCTAGTATTATGTTATTTTGTAGCACTGCTATCTTATTATATATGCAAATGGAAAACCACCTTTACTTTCTGGAAAGCCTGTCCAGCTATCTTTGGCAATAGGAACCTGTGGTTACCCAAAAAAAGCAATTAATGAAAAAAGCAGTGAAACCATCACAAAAGTATACATCCTG